CAAATATTTTTAACATACCGGAAATTATGTAACCAATGAGTAGTGCTCACTTGCTGATTTTTTTTCAAATTTACTTTGGTTCCATATTGTTTTCAGGAACAAGACTCAAATTGAACCCAAAGAAAACAAATGTATGCCTTGGCCTAGGGGAGCTGGTTTAAGGTCCTTATCAAAGTCAGTTGCCTTGGGCCTATTCTGACATTACCTGAATTAGATCACTTGTCATTCTGGTCATCAGGTGCTCCGTTATTTCAGTATCTTCAAGATCTGTGAGGGCCACCCAAGTTCCATTCTCAAATTTCACAGGCATAGAAAAGACGATTCCTTCAGGAATACCAAACTGGCCTGCAGGAGCAGACACAAAGCAAAGCGAAGCGGAGACACTCGGGAAAATGTCATACCTACTAAGCACTGCAAAACAGGCAGGGTACGTGACTGTTAACGATGATGCCGATCTACATTTCTGGTAACTCCTTCTCAGGGAGAGTGAAACACTCTACAAGTATTGACTGGGCATCTGCCCGAGCTCTGGCAACCCCCTTCTGTGTGTCTCCTGGACGGAGCACCACGGTCCCCTCTTCTTTATCCCTCTTGTCCCGGGTTCAGACCTCCTGCCTCTTCCTGGGGAGCTGGTGCCCTCCTCTGTCTCGTCTGGGTTCCTTTTGTCAACTTTCCAAGGCTTTTCCTGTGCCCCTAGGTAGCCCATGAGCCCAGGCCTTGTCCAATCTGGCCTTCTGCTATTCCAGGGTGCCATGGCAGTTATATAGCCAAGGTGCGAGGGCTGGGAAGGGAAAGACAGGGAGCAGGAGAGTTGATTTCCTCTCAGCTCCCACTTCCCAGTCTGGATGTGCTCCAAACAGAGATTGGCAATACTTGTTACTAACTGAGCAACATTCCCATAAAGTTGCCCTGCGCCTTTTGCACCTCAGTGTAAAAGAAATTAAGGCTTGCCATCCTAGTCATCCAAAATGTTGCCACTAGGGCAAAATAAATGCAGAGTCAAGAAACTAGGCTCTAAAAACCATCCTCAGAGTGTGTCCCAGGTCCTCTGTTCACTCTCTGTTTTCTCTGTGAAGAGCCAGCTTTATGGGTGGACAACATACGAGGGTTTAAGTACATGGACAGTTTCAGGGAGACAATGATCACTGGCTCCTTTCCCCCAATATTGCATTGTTTATTGATGAATTCCTATAGAGATTAATTAAATTTTCTACAAATAAAGGTAAGGTTTAAAATGCTTATTTCACTAAAAAGGTAATATACTGATCTGAATTCACACAAAGGGGATGCTCATACATTGTAACTGCAACTGAACAAGATTCACTGAGTGTCTACCCAAAAAGGAGCAGCGAGACGACCCAGGCAACTAACCACACCATCAGTAAAGGCAGGCTATAATATGCTTTCTGAGGGGGGAACGAAATGCTCCGAGTACAGAGGAGAGACAGAGATTAATCTGGCCTGGGGCTTTCGGGAGATTTCCTAGGAAGAAGGGGGAGGATTGTAGTTCCACTAATACCATTCAAGAAACACAAGGAACACAATTCTGAAATTGTGAAAATCCAGTCAGCTTATAGATTGTGTGAAGACTTGACTGGTGGGGACACAGAAGTAGGAGGCATACAAGAAGGATTTTCAATTTTACAAGATATGAAAGGCCCAGGTTTACCTTCACTCAGCACTCCTAAGGACACAATCTCCCCAGGCGGCGAGCCATGGTACCAGTATCTCAATGTAGTGGCTATACTGTGTGCAGCCAGCATGCCTCCAAATTGTTTTCCTGTGGCAGTCAACTCTTTAAGACTTTCCACAAATTCTTTGTTAATCCACTCACTATAAGGAGAGAAAGAAAGAATTTTTCAATGACGGGAGAAATGGAAATAAAAAAGACTATTCTCTGGGTCAATGAATCTGAGTACAGAAAATCACCTCCACAAAACAGAGATATGCCTTCTGGTGTCCTTTCTTCAAGCTTCTTCACTCCCATAAAAAGTTGACTGAAAAGCAATGACAAAGAGCAGAAAGGAATCCCAGAGTTTCAAACTAAAAACATGATAATAGAAATATGGAACACAGAAAAGTGGTCAAAGGTGCAAGAGCAATTACTTTCACAACAAAGAATTTATTCTATGTAGATGCTACCTTGGAACCAGTGGTATCGTTCATTTTAAATAAAATAATATAAAATGTTGACTTGTTCACATTGAGAACTAGGGACATAATTATGTTTTTACAATCTGAAGTTTAAAGGCAGGGAAGAGTTGAGCTGGACTAGAGCAAGCACTAAATGGCTGCCCCTGCTAAGCCATGATGACACAGTTCCAATAGACACTGCCCCTACCCAGGCAGCAAATGCAGAGGAACCAGGCTCCAAGAGTGTGAACTGGAGACATGATTTCTAGGGATGGACAAAGTTCCTAAGGTCTGAGAATGGGACGGAAAGAGAGGGTCATTGGAAAGAAAGGTGCTGCAAAGTTTTGGAAAATACTTCAAAGGCTTTCCTCTCCCTTTCTCTCCTCTACCCTAGTGCAATGATAGTGTTGACTGTGGCAGGCACAGTTCTAAGTGTTTTATCTGTAACATTAATCTATTTAATCTTCCAAATGACCCTATATAAGGACCACACTATATTAGCATTTCCACTTTGTAAGTGGAAACACCGAGGAATAGAGAGGTTAAGTAACTTCTCTAAAGTCACACAGCTAATAATTGGCTACGTGAGAATTTCAACTCAGGTGGCTTGGTTCTAGGGGCTGTGCTCCTCACCACTTCTCTATCCTGCCTCTCCCGGGAGGGAACCCCCGGCATGGCCTGGGCCTGCTCACCATCTTAATCCCCTGTTCTTGAAAATGTTCAACTAATTTCAACCTGGATACATATCTCTGTCTTTAAGTTAAATGAGATTCACATTACATACGCTTGCTTTAGAGGTAATTTAATGGAATAGGTGAGTCACTTTAAGGATAATCTGAAATATAAAAATTTATAATTTCAAAACCAAATAAATTGGGAGTGGGAAATGACTAGTTGAAATCCTATGGAACTTCCTATGTTTCTTCAGTAGAGAGCATAAGTAAAGATGTGTGAACAATGCCAAGTTATTTTTGTCCAAAGATTTCCAAAATGATTTAAAAGATTACAACTGCTAAACATTTATTCAACACTGTTAGTATACTTCACTTAAAAATATACAGTACCTATCAAAAACCAAGCTTAAAACAGGGCGAGAAAAGTCAGGAGGTCCCCAAATAGCACTCTCATATCTGTAAATCTTGGCTTTTCTTAGGTCAACGTAGCTATTTCCACTAATATTACCCCAAATTATCACATCTTTGATGCCTGTGAAGAAAAGAAATAAAAATTAACATAATAATGAACAATATACAAAATTGCCTGCAGCCCATTTTTTTGTTTGTGTTTGTTTTAGGGTTGGTCCTTTTGCTATAAAGCAGATTTAAGTTTATGCTGCCTAAAAATGTGCAAATGATGTGGCCCAAGGATGTCCTCACTCAGGGTTTGGCAATCCTTACTAATGCCCTGCGAATGGTGTGGGCACACAACAGAAACCAAGGGATACTGGGATGCTCCCTGAAGAAACTGCTACTGATAATTATAACCACTGGCCCTGGTCCTGACTTCACTACTCTGCTTGCCTTAAGAGAACTTTCTGTTTTGATTCTGACAAAAAGTCCTTGATTGTCGACTGGAATAGAAATTTGGGCAAATCACTTAACTCCCTGGGTGGGTTTTGTTTGCCGCAGAATGAAGGTGCTGTAGTAAGAGGACCCTGAGGAACTTAAGGCATAGTTGGCGGTTTAGCTTCTATGTGTGAGGCACCTCTAGCTGGTCGACTTAGAATAAAGTCAGTCAGCCCAAATCCTTGCAGCATTCAGGGGGTGGAGAGGAGTGGGTGAGAAAATGACTACTATACAAAGTGATGCGTACTTTAAAGAAAATTAAGAGGATGGGGTTAAAGAGAAATATGGCTTGGCACTTAATATAATTCTATAATTGTAAGTTTTCTAGGAATATTGCATCCAAAGTGAAAATAAGTAATTTTATTGATTTGTTTATTAACCTGTTTATTTGCTTAAAAACTCAATTCTCTTATAAGGCCACACCACTTCCAATATTAAAGATGAAATTCCTTCCTATTCTCCTGTATGAGGTAAGATTGCTGTTGGCTTCAAGTAACAGAATATCCTACTGATTTGGCTTAAGTGGAGGGAATTTCCTCCTCTCAGATAACAAGGTGTCAAGGTAGGCAAGGTGCTTGTTCAGCAGCTCAAAGGTGTTATCCTCTTGGCCTTTCCCTCACAGTCCTAGAATGGCTGCAGCAGCTCAAGTATCCCACTCTCACAGCTGTGTTCACAGGCAGGCAGTAGGGGAAAGAACAAGACAGAGGCTTCCTCTTCTGCCTTTTCAGGGAGTGAAATATATTTTCCAAGGGACTTCAAGTAGACTACATCACTCGACCACTCCTAGATGCAAGAGAAGCTGGAAAAATGTGTGTCTTTTTGAACCTTTATAGCAAGAGACTGGTTAGGGGGGAGAAGAGGGTGAGAAGTGGATCTTGTGTAGTCAACTATCAGTGTCTACCATCCCCCTCTGAGATTCTCTCTCATCAAAATGACTCATGAAGTAGGAATAGCCGGTGCTCCCTCAATCACCCAACTCCTAAGAGAGCTACTGATGTGCACTTGGGCCCTTCCTTTAGCTTCATGTTGTAGGAGGGAAGGGAAGGGGAGGGGAG